CAGCAAATCCAGTTATCCAGCTTTCACCTTTCATCACCATTACACCGAACAACTGCCGTCTCTCACTTCTGAACTGAATTAAAAGGACAAATTCAATAGCAAGGTGCTATATAACATGGGCTTGTTTTGCAGAAACTGAACTAGTCAAACTTGGGAAAAAAAGTCTCCACAAACCCCCCTCTTAGGGGGTATTTAGGTATGACTTTACCCATGTTAATCTAGGAAAAGCATTGGAGCATGATCCTCCTTCCTTAAAGGATTTCGTATTTTAAACAAAGTGTTACATATATACAATCCCCAGGAAAATAATAATTAAACCACACCATTCTCAATCATTAAGAAAGAGCATTCTATGCATTATTCTGAGTGATCATAACCCCATTATATTCTTGAAAGATTTTTTTACTTCTAACAAGAGTAAAAAAATTAAGTAATAAAACTGTGAAAGCTGACAGCATTTAAACATAGATAAAAAGCGTTCATTAATTTCTGTATGCCTTATTATGAGTCACAACGTGTAGATCTCAGCAACCGTTTACTAACTTTTGGTGACTGTTGACCTAAGAACATATAGTGTCAATGTGACCTTGTTCAAGGAAACACTATGCTCTATAACATGCTGCACACACATTAACGCTGTATCTGAAAGATGCATGCGTAATTTCTGTTTCGAAAAGCCCGAGGCACACGTTCAACAGCTCTATATCTAAGTTAAATATTTGATTAAGTGTTTTATATGGCACAGACCTTAATAGTTAGGGTACTATTTCAAGTGTGTATTAGAGTCTGTTGACTCTGAAAACAATTGCAAAATAAATCTTAAAGTGATATAAGAAATTACATTTTAATACGTAATCTTGTCCTTAACTTAGAGACTCACTACTTGAACTCCCAGAAGGACTTCCACCACAGACTCAATAACCACTATCACATCTCCAAACTACCTCTAGCATACTATTACACCAATAGTAACTTCTTAGACAGGAGAGTCAACATTAAAAATTGGTAATGGTGCCTTTTTTAACCCCCCAAAAGTGAAGTTAAACAGATGTTATACGCTTCTACGTAATTCTTTTATTCCAACATTTCTAAAAGCATAATTTTTGTCAAATAGCAGACTTCGAAACAAGAAAGCACCAAAGATTGCCCATGCAAGACTCAGGAAGCCAGTTAGAGCAGAAGTTCCAAAACATTTAATCACTTTGGGCTGCACCAAAATCTACAGACCAACGCAGATTAGTACTAATCTACAATCTTCAAGATCCCATCAAATACAAAAAGAGTAAGTAGAAACAGTCTTGCTTGTTCTTTTAATTTTAGTAGTCTGTTGGAGAATTAAATACAACAATAGGTGGGAACATCCTATTCAAAAGTGCAAATTTTACACTGACAATTTCCACGTCACATGTAATTCTTCCTGAAGAACAGCAAGCAGGAGGGAACAGAAAACTCCTGACCTTCAGGGCTTGTGCTACAGAATACATACCACCAAACTCTGTTATCTGAAAGCAAAGTTGTTTCTCTTTCTACTGATTGAAAGTCTTATCCTGCACATTCTAGCATGTGACTTAGTACTGATAGGTTAAATTTTATCTTCTTACTATACAAAACCTCAAAAATATGGCTTAAAACGTGGTACCTTTTTACACAGAAGTGTATTTTGTTTATTTGTATTCATAAGTTGCACTGTTTTAGACAAAGCTCTTTTTCAACCCTTTTCAGTCTAAATAGTTAGAAGCTTCAAAATTTGTCCCAAGCACTTCATCTAACAAGCTCACTCTCCAACATAAACCATCACTAAAACATTCTCATTGCTCTTTCAGATATCTTTGGCCAGGGAGTTTTCTATTTCAGGAAGACCGACTCTCATTGCCTGAATGGTAAATGCTTTGAACTCTCTCTCTCAACACTGCTACACTGTCTGTTTCTTTGCCTTAGAGTTTTCACATTTGAATGTTATTTTTTAACTTGAATCCTTCAGTTTACTGCTACTTAAAATGCAAAGCAAGAAAGAACAGTTTACTTCCAAGGGAGGTGAGTCACTTAGACTCACCCTCATCCTCACATATTAATTACAGTTGCCTTACTAAAAGTAAGGCACGACAGCTTCCTCCCACATTCTTGCGCCTTTCCCTAGTACCAATACAGTCTTTTTAACAATTCCAGTAAAAGCAGATAATACATATATTTAATAATCAGCTCTTCACGTAAAGTTTCTATTGAGGCAAAATATGTTTTTGAAAGAGAACTCTGACAGAAAGATTGCTTCGTTCTCCGTGTACCCGGACTCCATAAAGCCTTTCAAATCCAGTAGCACAGCACGTACTGTCAAGATAAACCAAGGAATGCCGAATTCTTCATCTTGGGGTTTTCCATTTCCTCCAATTAGACAAAATTGCATATGCATTCCATTCTTTCCTAGCAATTATTGTGATCTGGCTATCACTGGACAAGCAGATTGCTCTATTCCTTGTGTAAGCTGCCACAGAAAGAATTGAGAAGAAAACTGAGCAGTGACACAACTGTCTATGGGACTTTCCACAAAGTGGTATGCATTCCCACGAGCCAATCCAGAAGGCCTGGAAAGGAAGCAATCCTCTGCTCTGAGCACAGGAAAGTAATTTCCTACAGTTTCATGAAGCACAACATTTTGTGATATGCATCTTGTAGCATGTAAAAACATATTCGTTATCTAGTTCAGATGATCTAGGTTAAAGTACGTAAGCAGGAAGGTGAGGACTGCAGAACTGTTGTTTGGGCTGCTGGATATCTGTATTCTCTGGTGAATGTTTTCACTGCATCATTACAGCATCTGTTTGACAAAATCCTGGGGGAAACTGTTGCTGTTTACAATTTAGCAGACTATCAAGACTGCTCTGTAGGCTCATAAGTGAAATTAATACACAAGAATAGCTTGTTTTGAAAGAGCTTTCTTGAATTTCACAGCAGTGGGGAAAAGAACTGCCACACAGCTTCTAGATCGACACTTTCCCAGTTTACATCAATGCTACAAACCTCATCCCTTCAGACGAAGTGAAAACCTAGATTCTGCTAGCTGGAAAGGGAGACTGAATACACAGCATAAATAAGCAAATACAGGATTATTCTTTTTGAACTACTCTTATGTCACTCTACGGAGTCACGTAACAATGTCTCTGCACACACAGACGTCACAGGGGCACACAGGGACTGGCATCTGAGCACATACTGAGAGACACAAGGTGTCAAGGCCGTGAAAAAAAATAATGCTGTGACCCACATGGATCCCACAGGTTAGATTTTGGTTCAAAAAACATATTGTAATTCTTAAAATACAGCAGTTAGCACCAGTAGAAACATACGTATGGCAATCCACTAAATGCAAACATTCTGTACTTCAAAATTTTTTTGCATTTTAACAGCCCAGGTATCAGAAAAGGATTCTATTTATTGATAAAAAAATTCTAATCCTAGCATATGTACAATACACAGCATTTAATTTTTCTTCTTCCTTAGTTCTAGTTCATTTTACTACATGCCTCATTGCTGCATAAAGCTAGAAAGAGCTGGGGGAATGCTGCTAATTAATGCTTTGGATAGAAACAAACTGTGAGCTACCAGAAAGCATGGCAACCAGTTCCCCAGGATCCTATTTAGAAGAGTTCTGGTCCCCTTCTTGATTCTGAATACAGAATGGGTATGTTATCAGTATATATCCAAAAATCTACCAAATCACTCTTAGACCTTAATCAAAGGAAATTTGAACTAAAACATGTTCTCCCAGCTGGTTACCATTGTCTTTGTGCACGAAAATCCAGCAATGAAAAGATGACAGACTAGTGTATTATATCCACTTCACTATTTCTAGAATCATCCTTCTTAATATTGTGAAGAATTCACAGGTATGCGAAAACAGTTGCATGCAAATACGAGGCTATGATAAACACTGATTATTAAAAAATCCAGAAAACTCAGTCTTAATTTAGTTTTTATAAGATTATCAGACTTATAAGATGTGGACAAAACATCTCATTCCTGCATTTAATGATCAAGTTACATCCACCTATCAACAAAAATTTAGATGCAAACAAAAAACCTCATTAAAAATAAATGAGTATCTGCCAACAGGAAAGTAGAGCCATTAGGACTAAACCAGTATTCTACAGAATAAAATTAGCATTGAATGCAGCAATACGAGGGTAAATCTAACTAATACTATTCCACATCACCTGCAGCAACTTACCAAGAAAACTTTTCCTTCACAGGTCTTGTTTAATACAAATATACTGTATGTTTTATCAAATATCAGGGTGTTCACTGAAAAATAACTCTACCTAAATGTGGCAACTATCACCACAAATCTCACTGATAATAAAAGCAGCGGTAGGAAAAAAGAGTGTTCGCAACTTTTATCATTACCCCTAGCTACAAAGAAACCGATATGATCTCAAACCAGCACTGTAAAATGAAATGCAGTCAGTATTTTCTAGAATAATTCATGTAAGTGCTGAAAATTCTATGCATAGTTGCCCTAAAAAGACAGACAACAGCAAATTTCCTTTAAAAATACAGAGACCTAAACATAACATGAAAACGCAATCAGTTTTAACACATAGAGAGGACACTGATAAAACACAAACCACACGGATTCAGGAAAAAAAAGCCAACCAAACACCCAAAACCCCAAACCAAAAACAAACACTGCTTTTTAAACTGAAATTATAAACAAATATTTGAAAAATACGAAACTTCTGAACTTACTGCAAAATCAAACTGTCTCTAAGAACAAAGATATTCATTCTTACAACTACACATTTTTATTGAAAAAGGCCATACAGAATTACTTCAGGCCAACATAAACCAGAACTTTTTCAAGTTCCAACTCAATTTGCATATTCATATAAAAAATACAATAGTGGATGTGAATGCAATTGTACACACAAGTACGTACCTACATCTTTATATCTATCTGTGGAAGTTATATGTGACCCCACTGCTACTAAAGCTGAAGAAAAACTCACCTTGTGACAAACTTCTGATTTAATTTCTTTGAGAGCACGTTCAGAGAACACACAGCCACAGTTTCTCAAGAAGCAAAACCTTCAAAGAAAAGACAAGACATACAACCGTTTTCAAGAAACCCTTTGTCTAAAAGATTTATGTGCCGTTCTGTTTTAACACAGGATCAACACTGCAATGGGCTAGAGGACACAGCTCACTTTCTCTTTACAAATTCTTGCAGCTAATCAAGGTAACAACACCTTTAAGTAGGCACTTAATAGTTTACACAATGTAAGAATTAAATGAAAAATACTGAGTACATTAAACCACAACAAATATTGTGTTCTTTCATTCTCCATGTAATTCAGCATAGGTTTGACAATCTCTCAAGGGGATCTTAGCAAAACAGAAGCTCTTGAGATGTTTTTGTACATTTGCTATAGGTTGAGAGACACAGGTTTCTCTGGAATCACCACCACAATCTGTTTTACTTCAAAGTTACACTATTTCAATGGTTCCACATTCCACCAAGCTTACTGGTTTTTATCTACCCTGATTCAAGCTCTCCAGCAAAGCTGTCACAAGTGACCCTAGCCAGGGTCTGTTCTCCCATGTCCCTCCTGTCCACGTGCAAGATTCCTGCAAGGCTGCACGAAGCAATTACGCACACGGTTCGTGTGATCTCCCTTTCCTGAGAGCTACTGTTAATCCTTTCCTCTCTATCACCCTCAACAGAACTAAAAATTACTAAGGTGGCTCTGGGAAAAATGGGTTTACTTTCAGGTTCTCTCTTTAATTCTGCCTGAACAACTCCTGGCTAATCACTCTCTGAAGGAAGAAATACTTTGCAACTACCAGCCTGTGAACCCGGCCTCTTCTCACTCATCAGGGTTAACATGCACAGAAAAAGAAATTGATAATTTGCCCAAACCAGGATGCAAAGAAATGTCCTTCCTCAGCCCAAAAACACCCCCCCCCCCCCTACTATTGCAGGACTAAAATAGACATACAACCCATCTCCATTCCGATCCTAACACAGGGAGAGGTAGAATTGTTTCATGTGACACAAAGGGAGGTCTCATCCAATTTCCCTCTGCTTGCCCATACCAATCTCCTGTGGTTTAGCCCCCAAAAAACTTTTAGTCACTTTTTCTCTGCAAACATTGCCCTTTAATCCTTTGTTATACAAATAAATTAATTTAGGAAAGGGTTAACTTTTTATCTTTCATCCTGAACATGAAATAAAAGGACATTTACTAGTCTCCCGAACTCGTGAACCCCTCCTTCTGAAAGAAGGAGAAACATTACCCACAAAGACTTAGGACGCGAGTTGCAACATTATAGATTCAAACATTTTTACGTGCCTTATATTCACTTTATCATAGTACTTGCTTCTAAAGACAAAATCCAGAAACTTACTGACCTATGTCTTCCATTCATTTCCAATCCCACCACAGGGCATATAAAGCGTGCAGACTGGATGTCATCATATTTGTCACCTTTTATACTCTCTTTATCACCACTCCAAGCTGGATTATCTGCAAGGTTTAGTTCTGTTACATTCTGAAAAATAAAAACGCAAGCCTTAAGCTGTTTACTAATGATTTTTGAGCTATGATAACATTCCCTAAGATATTTTTTTCCCCATGGTTTACTATTTTTAACACTCTTGGTATGTAGTGAGAACACAAGCAAATTGAGGTTTTGCAGCATGTTTTAACTTTCATGACACTCTAACATTAGACACAACCTGTTTACCTTAATGCTCTTGATATGTGATGCAGCTTCCATAGGAGCTTTATCAGGTGACTTGTCCAACAAAAACTCAATGATAGCATCTTTATTATACAACCTGTAACATAGAATTTTAGTAGTCATATTTGATTCTCATAACTACCTTTTATTGATAAATAAGTACCTTTTAATACAGCAGTCTATATGGAAACATTCATACCTGCCTAGCTCACAGGCTACAATTGGTCGACATAACTTCTCTTGACTCAGAGCACAGTAGTACCATCTTGCCACCAACTCAGCATTTTTGTCAACCTGAAGAAAAAAAAAAATCATGATTTTAAAATAGTTTTTATATTTGCAAATTATTTAAACATAAACCCAAATAATACTTGAAGCATTAATCAAACCCCTAGGTATCTGACCAAACCTACTTTCTGCATTCAAAGCCATTCCATAAAATAACTTTAGCAAAATTCGTGACCAGTTTTGAGGGTCTACCTCTACCTATTGAACATGTTTCTGCATCTTGGGACCCACCTTCCTAACTCTAACTCAGTTTTCTTAATTTGTGCTATTTCCACATGTCCCCTTCCCTCTTCATTCTTTTTTGTTCTTTACATGTTCACCACCACCTTCTTCTCTCGAGTTCTACCCCTGCTTGGGTCAACTACTAGTTCTGCTGCCTGTAAGGAACAAGATAACAAGAAAACCAAATCCGGGGACGTACCTGAAGCTCCAGTCTAAACCCATTAATTTTATGATACATTATGCCATAAAAGAAAGGTTGAGATTCACAGTTACTCTATCAGTCAGGTGTGGGGAAGAAACAGATTTTATTTGCTTATTTTACATTAGCAAGTGTAATTTGCCAAAGCCTTCTGTCACTTGCTGTAAGATTTTTCTCAATCTTTATCCAGCTACCCCCACAGGTGATACCACTGTATATCCATTACCGTAAAACATAGAATCACAGAGTAGTTTGGGTTGGAAGTGACCTTAATGATCATTTAGTTCCGACCCCCCTGTCATGGGCAAGGACATCTTCCACTAGACCAGGTTACTCAAAGCCCCATCCAACCCGGCCCTGAACACTTAAAACATTATAAAGAGAAAGCCCAAATAACGTTCAGAATGCAAGCAGAGGGAATGCAGAAACGGCCACGTTCAACACCACCAATGGCCTGGTCACACTATTAAACGTATCCCTAGGTGAAGGAGGCCTCTAAACCCCACACGTTCAGCAGAATGTCCAAGAAGCCCTCCAGAAGACAAAAGGACCTCAACTGTAGCTGCCAGTAGCGCCACAGCTACAGTCACCCTGCGGCGGTACCCGCTACCGACTCAGCGCCGCGCAGAAGGGCGCTCTCCTCCACACTACCAGCGCCAGGACAGCCAGGCCGGGCTCGCAGCCACTCCGGGACGGGCAGAACTGACCAGGCCTCCCCGGGGCCTCTCCCCGCCCAGGCCGCGGGCCCCGAGCAGGGCCCAGGCTCACGCAGCGGGTCCGGCCGCGCTCCCCGCCGCCCCCTCTAACCTTCTCGACTTTGCGGGGCCCCTTGACCAGCTCGTGCCGCTTGGGGATGGTGCCGCCATCGCATCCCATCTCGCTCCCCGCAGCGCTTCGCTTCCGGCTCCGCTTCCCCCGCACAAGTGAAGCATTTCCGGCGTGCCCTGATAGCGTCATCGCTGTTGCCTAGCAACCACCCGGCTGGGGGCGGGGCTAGAAGAACAGCGGCGGCCCCCGCGCGGCGGCGGGGCGGGGCAGGCGGCGCCTCTCCTTTGCCGGCGCCTCAGGCGGCGGAGCGGGCGTCCCCCTGGTGCGGTGAGGAAACGCCCCACAGGACACCCACTTTGGGGGATTTAGGGCCAAATGAGGTATTCCCGGGGTGGGACGCGGGCTGCCGCCGCTGAGGAGACACCTCCCGCCCTTCCCGCCCTCAGCCCGGCCAGCCCCAGGCAGCTGGGGAGGAGGGGGCGACGGATGTTGAGAGCAGTCGGTCATTCCAAAAGTGAATTTAATACAAAACAGACAAAGCCAACGTGAAATGCAGTTCTGCATTGAACTGTGCAAACACTAGTATTTACAAATGTCAACGTTTAAATAACGGTGTAAAACACAGTGACTGCCAAGTGAAAATAAAACGGAGAAGACGATGGAGCTGGTTTTTTTCCACAGACGGGCCCTGAGCCTCAGCACTGTCGCAGTGCCAAATTGGCTCTAACTACTTACAAAACTAACTGTCCGTTTTCAGGGCAAAGACATGGGCACAACATTGCCAAGAAAGGCCAGACTTTGAAATTTCAGATAAAACTGTTAAAATAAATAAATTAGGAAAACCACAAATGACACGGGCGTACAATCAATCTACCTGGGTGGTTACAGGGCCTTCATCGTTGCTGTATTTCAGATCCAGCAAATTTGGGGACAAAGTTAATGAGCGACACAGACGAACGCAGTAACGGCCGGTCCGAGAAGCCCTGGGCAGCCCAGCAAGAAATAACACCACCTTCCCAGTTTGTAGGGAGAGCTTGTCCAAAGCCTCTGCATGTCTCGGGATTAAAATAAATTCTGTTTCAGTTGGAGCAATGCTCTGAACAGCCTCAGGATACGACAGAGGACGACTGAGACGTGCTCCCCATAGATTTCTTGGGAGCCGGGACTCCTCCAAATCAGTTTCCCTCTGTGCTCAGATACCAGCTGGGGCATTTCCCATGGACATCCAGGCTACATGTAGCACCTGCCAGGTTTTGTCCTGTAATACATTCATTGCATTTGTGTATTAAAAACAAAAATTAGCTTTGCAGCTGTTTAAAAGAAATATACTGTAATAACACATTTTGAGTAAAGTCCACAGGAAACAATTGATGATGGGATATCATAAGGTACACAACATTGTGCAGCAAAATTTAAAGAGAGACTTTACATACCCAAATAGAAAAAAAAGAAGTGTATTTATCTGACCTGTAAAATTAAAAAATAAGAAATCAGCCAGATAATAAAATAATTTTGCTCTAATACACAGCAAACATTCCTGCCCAGCCACTAAGATGACGATGTTTCCGGGTAGGATCTGAACAATGGAGAAGAAAGTACAGTTTTAATTCTACAAATCCTCTTCTGCATCTGCTGTTGTGTGGATCTTCACCTGCTAAAAGTGCACCAGCACCCAGGGAACTGCCCGGCAGCAGTTCTTAGAGGTGACTGAGAGTTGGTGTCACTGAGCTGCTTTTTGCCCCCCTTGGCTGCCACATGCCAAAGGAGCAAAAACAATGGAGAATGTGTAAAACAGGAAAGTGTCTCTCATTCCATCATTGCTCTAAACTGCTGTGTGTACTTAGACAGCTCCTCAGTTTGATCCTGAAGTTCCCTCATGGCATCTGTGTTTGGATATTGTATTGCTGCATTTTTGGTGGCGAGAGCCAGATTCTTCAAGAGGCTGCAAAACCGGCTGCTGCTGTGGAGAATGTCGTTCCGAGCATCTCTTTCTTGAGTTTCCTGGCAGAGAGAATCCACTAGCTTTTGTCCCACCATAATGATCAATTTGCTGTGGGATATGAAGACTTCGGGCGGCTGGTTGTTGCTCAGACTATTAGTAAATACACCAATTGCCTTGTGAAGTGCACTGAAACACAGGTTACAGTGTTCGGGGAGAGCGATTTTCTTTGCAGAGTCCTGCTTGGTTTGAATGACAGTCTTTTTTGCAGATGGCAAAACCTGGAAAAAGGGTAAAAAAATAGACTCAGCTTGTTTCTTTGTTTGCTCTACCCTACATTCTTCACGTGTTTCTTCACTTACAGGGAGTTTTGTTAGTTAATAGTCTCCAATTTGTCCAGCCCAGGAGTCTTTTGCAATCATTTCTCTTTCCGTAAAGTATGAGACCTCAAAGTGGTATTTTCTCCCGATTGTTCCCTAAACAAACTTCACCGAACACGATTTTAATAATGGATAGCCCACAAAGTGCTGTAGCTAAACATCAATCCTTTCTACAGTCTGGACTTCAGGCTTTCAGATAGTACAAAACATTCAGACTTGATCTTTAATGGTGCTGACTTCATGAGGGTTATGAATGATTAAAACCGTACAATAACAAGAGAGTCAGTCCTTATACCAGTGCATGCCAAGATATTTTGAAATACTAACTTTCACAGCCTTATCCCAAATGATAGACAAAGGCAAGCAAATAAACAGTATGACTTTGAACTAGAGTGTTTTGTTACATCTGAGGAAAACTAACGTTTTGCACAGGTTTTCAGCAGTAATTCTAAGAACTAATTCTGGGAAAATGAACTATGAGGAAACAAAATAGTTCTCTATGGATAGATATGTGTGTCCAAGTGCAAATCATTTTGAATTTCAGCAAGCACAGAAATCGGGGACTACAAGTCCTCATAAGTAATAGTTTTCAAAATCAGAAATACCTTTGGGTTTGAATCTGTACTCTTCTTTGCTACTTCTTTATCTGAAATGATTTCCTGTGCCTGTTACAAATCAAAATGAAAGCAAAGTTGAAATGGTTTACATAAAAATTTAAATATAAATGTGTTTTTCTCTTATTTTGGCGGGAAACAACTACTTGCTATGCAACCTTCATGTCACAGACAACAATGGTACATTTATTAGAAGCAACTGTAGTTTTTTTCCTACTAAAAATTTAGTGTCTGATCCTGCAAGATCTAAGACTGAAACCAATGTCAACAAAACATGACATTGCCTGAATTTGAAGGACAAGCCAGCATTTCTTTGTGAAACAAAGAGAGTTATATTCTTAGTAGGCATTTCAGTAATTCTAAGGAGAATGATTCTAACAAACAACAAAAATTGTTCTAACAAATAAATTTGATAATTCACAGTAAGAGTTTAATTTGTTAAATCAAAATTTTCTACGAAAGCATGCTTTCCAATACACGTTAAGTTAAAGAGTTAACATCTCTTGTATAGTCAGAATCATAGAATGGTTTGGGTTGGAATGGACCTTAAAGATCATCGAGTTCCAACCCCCCTGGCAGGGACACCTCCCACCAGCCCAGGTTACTCAAAGCTCCATCTAACCTGGTCTTGAACACCTCCAGGGATGGGGCAGCCACAGCTTCTCTGGGCAACCTGCGCCAGTGCCTCACCACCCTCAGAGTGAAAAATTTCTTCCTGATATGGAAGTCAAACAAACTTTGATAGTCACATCAAACAAACAAAATGTACGGGCAAGAAAGAACTACTAGTCAGAAGAAACAAATTGCTAACTCCCAGCTAAAAGCTGCCTCTTGAATGAATTTAAATGGGCAAGCCAAAAATCTTTTCTCAATGCTGGCTGGCTGCCTGGGTAAATTCTCAAATGCCAGTTCTTTTTATTACTTAAAATTACTGATTGTTGTACATGTGCCACCTAGCACTCTAACAGAATCCTGAATTCACATAAAGTTTTGAAAATAGGAATTAGTACAAACCAAATTTGGCACTAGTGCAAAGATAAAATAGTGCTAATAGCTTAATATCTGCAAACGATCAAGAATATAGATAGTAAAATCCAGTTATACTAACCTGTAACTGAACATAATCACAGTCCTCAGTGGCATTTTCTTTTGGTTTCTCAGAAGAGACTTGACTTTGGTTGGGTTTATCAGGAGTATTTCTTTGAAGCGCATCTATTTCTATTCTTCTTGGCACTGTGATTTGTTTTGCCATTTTGTATTCTGGGTTCACTTTTGATTGCTTCATTTCTTGTTCCTTCTCATTCTTTCTGAAGAGAAGCTTTCCATTGGCAATGATGATGGATACAAACCTCTTGATATCATCTGGAATCGTGCGGGCCACCATCACAAAGCGATCAAGATCATCTGGGTTGTTCTGAGGTTTCTTGAGGACCAAAGTGTCTAGTGACCAGTTGCAGTTGTTTAGAGCTTCTCTCGTTTCTGTTAAGATTTTGAATGAGTTCATAAGAATTTGTAGCTGTTTTTTAATTCTGGTCTGAAGGTTGTTATCAGTGAGGTAAGAGGCATTTACCTTTACGCCTTGAGCAAAGGCCAAGAATTCTCCCAGCGATACTTTTATGTGATCGACTGCTCTATGGATTTCTTCAATGCTTTTCTCTAGGTGCTCTTGTAATCTCCATTTACTACTCACAAAGATCATTAAACTCGCGACCGAGCTGGATACACTGTGCTGCAATCTAGTCAGTGTCTCTATGGCTACGTCAAGGTCCAGTTTAATTTCTTTGGCAGGCTCTTCTGAGGATGACATAGAAAAAGACTCAGAAGAAGAGTTTGAGGATGTAGAGAGTGTGCTGCTTCTGCTGTCTGCACTAGAAACAGATAATCTGTCTTGTTCTAATTTGTCATCTCTTGAGAGCTGTGGAGGAGCACTGTACGCTTGGTCTCCAGAACTATCGCTGTTTTTTTCCATCTCTTTCTTAGACTGCAAAGCAGTGGGCAAACCTTTTGGAATATCATAAACATTCTCTTCAGAGATTTGATTCTCAGCTTTTGGAGCCAGGAGACTTGGGGGTACATCACAGCTACCGTTTTGTGGCAAAAGGAGCACGTCCCCTGAGGATGGAACATCATAAAGATGGATATCTGGAAATGTTAATTTCCGTTGTGTCGGTGGAAT